GATAGGAGAGAGTGGGGCCCATCGTAGCATGATTTTCCGCTACATGCGCCCATCGTACAACGTGTTGCCTTCAGTAATGTACGGCCATAATTGATCACTTTTACAATTCTTTCTTTTTTTTTTTTTTTTTAAGGGAATTGCTTTTTTGGGAAAATTTACTCGCACATATTTTCTAATCGTCATCGGAACAATCGGTTTGTTTTCATCCAATACCAAATAAATTTGCAAGGCATAGTGTCTAACACTAAAGGGTAGAACATTCTATTTTTGACTATTAGGTTAAGTTATTAACAATTAAATTTGTGTAAATCAGTATTAAAAATTTACAATACACCGCACAGAATTACTTACTACGTAAATTTGACCGTTGAAAAAATAATTCAACCGTTAAAATAAAGTGTTCTACCAAAGGATTTTTTAGGAGGTCTCACTATAAAGAAAGCATATTTTATTTTATTTTATTTTTTGATATGAATGAGATCTAATTTTTAGTAGTGTATGTTGTTGCATACCGTACGTATCCATATCATTATTGTCAAAATAACAGGATTTGTATCGAAATTATCCTCTTCCAGCTTAAAAAGAAATACAATTGGAAGCCACTCATGGCAATGATCACCAAGCGAAACGATGTGAGATAGAATGTGGTGGTGCTTGATAAATGTGTCCATAGTTTAGAATCAGTATTGTGTATTGAAGTGCTTAAAAATACATTACAAACGAAAGAAAATAAATATTATTCATTCGAAAGAAATATAATGACATCTGCAAACAAATTTTAATTTAGTTTATGATATACCTCATTTCTAACCCATCCAATTAAGGAAGAGACCAAAGAAAAAAAAAAAAAAAAACGTGATTCTCGTGTTTGTATAAAAAAATAGAAGAAAGGGCCCATTAGACAAAGGCGAACTTGATTTTCGTAATTCGTCTATTTAATCGGCGCCTTTCTTAGTCATATTACTTGATATTTAAAAGTCACATAACATATGTCCAACAATAGTTCTCATGTTGTTTATTAAAGCAAAGGAGCACTGTCCTTATATAATGATGATGATAATAATAATAATAATAATAATCAGAGAGTGGATTACGGCCAAGATGTGTTAAGGCTTTTCTTCGTCAAATTTACAAACGACAAGATTTTTTTTTTCGTTTCTTCTCTCTCAAAGAAAAAAAAAAAGGTTTGGCCAACTGAACAAATATTTATTTCTCAGCTAACAATGAAGAATTGCAAATTTTGAAACACATTGGGTTAGGAATGTACAAAAAAAAAAAAAAGTAAAACCGAAATCGACCGTCATCAACTAAAGAACCGCCCCCTCAAAACTAAAAAAGACGGCGTCACGTGGAATCAAAGATAGTCGGTTCGGTTAACCGACCGAACTCTTTCAAAGGCGGTTCAGTTTTGAGTTTAGAGGTTTGGTTAAAAACCGAACTGACCAAATCTTTTTCTTTTTTTTTTTTTAATTTTGTCGTTTTTCTTTGTCCTTTCCCTAGGTTTTAGAGCGGAGGGGAGGGGCATGAAAATTGAAGAGGGTGATGATTGAGTCATCTTATACTGGCGAATATTTAGTTTTCACGATATTGGTTTGGCGTGTGTGCGTCCACGCTAAAAGCAATATTTTGTGATCCTATGTTTTAGAGATAAACCGGATATTGCTGCAATGTAATCTTGCTATCATTTGAAGAACCTCTCCCATTTTATCTCATTAGAATTTAGTTCAATTTGTGACGCAGTTTAACAGGGGTACTAGTGCCATGCAACATTATGTGGCAACACATCCAATGTTTATTGACTTGGAAGTCATGAATGCAGAAACAAGATTGGTTTTTGGTGACCATAGTTCACAAGCTACTCCTAGCAATGTTGCTCGAGGCCTTGCTTCCTTGTACAAGGAAATTATAGGTCTTGATATTTTCACTGATTCTCATACAAGAGGTTGAATTCTTTTATAGTTCTTTTGTGATATCTTTTTGCTTTATCTTGCAGATACTATACATAAGGAGGCAACTACAATAATGGTTGTATTCCCTTCTCCTAATGAAGTAATGTCAATTTTAGTTCAGGTAAATAGTAAATATACTCTTATTAGCACGTGTTCAAGTTACGATAGTATTAGTCAATACATTTATTGTGATCACAGATTTGCATAGAAGGAAAGTTTTACATTTTTTCGAATTTTCTGGTCAAAAAATGCAACTATAGATGTTGGTAACCTGACGGTTTACTGAGGGTTACCTTCCTGATTACCAAAACTGAAAACCAACTAAAAATTGAAGTCGGTTAACCGAACCGACTACTCCCTTGTCTGGTTCGGTTTTGATGCCCAATTTTAGAAAACTGAAATAGTCGGTTCGACCACCGAACCGACTAAAACGACAGTTTTTAACCGACGAACACTCATATATTGGGTCTTGTCTTTCAACCACAAGAGACGCTAGAGTCACTCTTTTCATCATTTTTTTGTCACTCTCTCACCTCTCTTTCTGTTATCTGTTACCTCACTTCTCCATAAAAGTAAAGCATTGTCACTTGTCTATAAAAATAAAGCATTGTTATAGCCCCCTTATTTTCTAATGGAATATTAAAAAAACTTTATTTTGCTATTCTTTGCTTGTTACTTAACATTTTTGTACGTATTTTCTTTAGTTTCTTTTGTCTTTTTAGCCCTCTTTGTTCCTTTTTTCCAATAGAATAGATATTGGAGATATATATTTTATCATTTAATCAGTTATTCTGATTTACAGCTAAACTTATATTATTTATATAAATAATTATTTATAACCTCTTTTTTTAAATAAAATAAAGATTTTGAAAAAATAATAATAATAATTACAAATTAAGAACCTCGTTAATGTTGGCGACAGGAATGCTTTCAAGGATCTGCATAGATTGTTGCTAGATATGGCTTTGTTGGGGGACTTGTAATATTTGGCTCATGCTTGAATAGAATTATTTAATAATATTATGTAACGTAAAACTTTTTATATTTATTTATTTTTTTGAAAAAAAAAGTTATAAAAAAAATGACAAAGTTCTAATAAAATGTAGAAACAATGGTCTATAATAATGTTTTACTTGTATGAAGAAATGAGATGGCACGCGATAAATTAAGAAATGAGAGAGTGACAAAGAGAGTGAGCAAAAATGATCCTATTATTTCTCTCGATGACAAACAAAAAGGTTAGACTGAAGTGATGTTCTTTCCTTCTATTGGCTGCATCTCCAATGAACTGAGTACTTACATAATTTCACCAGCTAATTAATTATCACAAATAAACAATTACTAAGAAAGCTTTCCAATTATATTTTACTTGTGGATCTTCTGGTTTGAATAAAAAATCCTCTTATCAGGTAATAGTATATTTCCACAGATGCCATTGTTAGAGTTTTCCCGTAGCCATAATTTGAAGAATAAACACAGCATCGGCCTTGAAAGTATTCACAAGAAGAAGGTATGGGCCTCAAGGACCCTAAGTTAGCCGCAATCATTGGGTATTCTCTATATTTACTACAAAAATATAGTAAAAAATTTAGAATATTTTAAAAATAATAATTTACAATGTTAATTTTCAATAATTTATTCATATTGAAATATAGTAAAAAATTTAGAATATTTTACAAATAATCATTTACGATGTAATTTTTTCTATTCCTAAAATGATTTAGAACATTTGCTATATTTCAACACATCTCTCATAAATTTGCTTATTTATCTTTTTTTATATTAAAACAATAAAACTCCTGTCAACAGAACTATAATCTTTTTGCTGAGACGGAGTATAGTTCTTATAAAATTTAGAAATTTTATGATCTATTTTTTTTTTTTTAAAAGAGATTGTTTGTTCTGTTTGTTACATTGATTAATTTATTCACATTAGTGTCATGATTTTAATACAATTTATACCAGTTACAAAGTCCATATGACCCGTAGTTTTAGTCAAATTTTGGCAAATAAACCACTAACTTACTTATGATCAATAATTAAACCATTGGTTTAGATATTCTTTAACGAATAGTCTACTAATGGTTTAATCAGGTTATTAGGTTAGTTCTTAAATTATAAGTAGTGTGTCACTTTCGTCACTGAACTTTTAATTTTGGTAAATTACAAACTTTTATTTTCTGACTATATTGATTCCTAACACTTTAATTGACTAAAGTTATTTGAAATTTCACAAAGATATTCGCATCATTGGTACATAATGACTAAAATTTAAACACAAGTAGCTACACTAGATGCAAAATATTCTCTCCATTGTTGTTCAAACCCCTTAAAAACATTTTACATTTAATGTAGAACTGTTTTTGTAAAAATATCTGAGTTATTATATGACTGAAAATGTGATTATCTTACAAAAATTTCAAAAGTCATTTACCAATAGCTCATTTGAGAAGTGTATTTGAACCATAATTTGAGTTTTAATTCAAATTTTTTATGAGAGAATTATTGTTGAGAATTTTTTTGATTCAAATTCTTTGTGAGATGAAACACTGTAACAGAATCGTAGTTTGAATTTTGAATATATTTACTAAACAACACCTTATTGTGAGATGAAACACTGTAACAGATCATTTCGTGACGGTGCTTTATGATACATATAAAAATAATATGTTTTAAAACGTCATGACACTATTATTAAATTCTGAAAAATACATTTAGGAGTTAACAGAAGGCCCTGTGGAGCAAATTATTTTATAAGTTTAAGGAATAAAAAATAAGAATTTCAAAATTAACGATCTAAATACTGAAAATTTATAAACAGCCTCGGAATGCAAATTTCCCATAAATTTGACTACTAACTCAAGGAAGAAAAAAAAAACCACATAAATACCAATGAAGCAAGCATCTCGCGCCCTAAAATACTTTTGACACTCTTGACAAAAAACGTTTTGACTACTTTGCTTAAGAGAGACGTCGTAGACTCGTGGGACTCAGACTCTTATTCGCTTTTTCCACCACTTCGCTGGAAAAGCAAGACAAAGAAACCTGAAACCACCAATGATCCTTTGCTTCAAGTACTTCTTCTTCTTCTTCTTCTTCTTCCTATGGATCCTTCTGGCCCATTCTTGCAAAGCAATTTCTAACCACCAACAACTGGCACTCAAAAACATATTCATCCTCGCAGGACAGAGTAACATGGCCGGCCGCGGAGGCCTCGTTGTCGAGAACTCCGCCACCGGCGCGCAGATCTGGGACGGCGTCGTTCCGCCGCAGTGCCGGCCCAACCCGTCGGTGCTCCGCCTGAACGGCAAGCTCGAATGGGTCGAAGCCCAAGAGCCTCTCCACGCAGACATCGACGTGGCCACCGTCAATGGGGTTGGGCCGGGCATGGCGTTCGCCGATGCAGTCTTGGCCAGGGACCGGGGCTTCGGGCCCATTGGGCTGGTCCCGTGCGCTATCGGCGGGACCAATATCAGCCAGTGGGAGAAGGGGAGCGTTCTCTACCGGCGCATGGTGAGGAGGGCTCGGGCTTCGGTGGCCGACGGCGCCGGTGGCTCGATCAGAGCGGTGTTGTGGTATCAAGGTGAGAGTGATACCATTGTTAAAAAAGATGCTGAGTCTTATGGACGGAGAGTGGAGAAGCTGTTTCAAGACATTCGGATGGATTTAATGTCTCCCATGTTGCCTATAATCCAGGTTAGTACTTAGTACAAGATTCTGTGATCTCTTTGCAATATTACTGTTGCACTTTTCAGTTTAATGAATTATACATGTTATTATTCATCATATATATCCATCGTGATGTACTTAATTTGTACAATAGAAAGATGGTGTTTTGATTATAAGTCTTTCAGTTTGACTGAAATTTGCATGATTTAATATAGTTCTGTCTTGTGTGTGATCGATTATTATCCCAGTACGTGGTGGTCATTATATATAATGGAAATGTTACTTTTTCCTAGGATTATTTGAGATGACGGGGTACAAGTTGGCAAGTTGGTGTTCGAATATAGTGCTAGCATAGGCTCTTTGTTCGATTTTTATCATGGAAGAAGTATAGAATAACATTTTAATTATGGAATAAGATATATGAGCATGCGTAATAATACATGTGATGTTGGGCTTCACATGCGGTGTAAAACAAGGAAAAAAAAAAAAAAAGAAGTTTCAAACGCGGTGAAATCCAACATAAGTCCACTAACGTCCAACTATCTATAGCCTTAATAATAATACTACTACTTGTAGTATGAGGTTAGTTGATTAGTTAAGTGCATTTTGATACAATATGTGTGTATATGTATATATGTGTGTATACGTATATGTATCCATATCAAATAATTGTATATGGTCCATGTACAGGTTGCTTTGGCATCAGGAGGACGTTATATAGACATAGTTAGAGAAGCTCAATTCGGAACAGATCTTCTAAACGTGCGAACTGTCGACGCCATGGGATTAGCCTTGGGACCCGATAATCTGCATCTCACAACTGAGTCTCAGGTTCGGCTTGGGCAGAAGATGGCCAATGCATTTTTTCAATTTTTACCCAGCCATCTTTCTCCTTCCAATTCTATTAATACTACTATTCAAAGCAATACTTCTCCTACAACTAATTTCTCTAACTTTAATCTTGGTTTTGCTATGAGTCTACTATTGAGCATTCTCATCACAATATTTTTTTTCTAGTACATCGGCCGCTTCTATTTGATAGGCCATCAAAGCAACATGTAACGGCGTTTTTTTTTTTT